GAATGCCAATTGACTTGCGTTGGCTCCATTGGAAAACATTAGAGTACAAGTAAAAAAGGTAAAGGTTCCCTTGCTCGAAAGCCAGTCAAGTCCGACTCTAGGGTTGCGGTGCTCATCTCCGTTTCAAAGCCGAAGGGAACGCGCTGTTACCTTCCCACCGAAGTGGTACCTATTTATCTACTTGCAATTTCTTGCTTTCGAACTGCTAGGTTGGCAGGAGCTGGAACTTGAGATGGGAGCTCACTCCCGTCTTGCGGCACACTCGGGTCTCGAACTGCTGAACAGTTGCAATAAAAATGCGGAATAGAGTTTCCATTAGGGTCTCTGGGCCCAAATACACTACTCTGGGGATGGGATGAGAGACTTCAAGCGTCTCCCATTGTTTCCAACGGGCAATCCTGTCCTTCCTTTTAGTACATCCCCGGATTTTGGCACAAGGAATTAAAGCGCACCGCCCCAGGGCCGTCTACCCTGGGGCCGTCATTCCACTCTTGGCCTGTCATTCCAGTTCCAGAACGCTCCATTCGGCATTTTTATTGCAACTGTACTTGTACTCTGTTTTCCAATGGAGCCTATGCAAGTCAATTGGCCTTCCTGGCTCCCATTATTTCCAATGGGCCTTCAAGCGTCTCCCATTGTTTCCAGTGGGTAACCCTGTCCTTCCTTTTAATACATCCCGTCTCAGAGCAGTTTACAATCTCCTTTCCCTCCCCCTCCCCACAACAGACACCCTGTGAGGCAGGTGGGGCTGAGAGAGCTCTTTCCGGAACTGCCCTTGAGAGAACAGCTCTGAGAGAACTTGTGACTGACCCAAGGTCACACCGGCAGCTGCATGTGGAGAAATGGGGAATCAAACCCTGTTCTCCCATATTAGAGTCTGTGCTCATAACCACTGCACCAGACTGTGAGAACTGGAACAGAGAGCTGTGAAGTTACCTCTTAGCAGTAGCCATTTGTCAGAAGGCAAAAGCATACGTCTCTCTAAAGCAGTGCTGCAGGCCCTGCCTAAAATCTGGGACACTCTTCTGTCTAAAATGTTCCCTGTTAAAACCCTGGCTTGCTCATTGGAATGTTGATATATATATATATATGTGCTACACTTGAAGATAAGAGTGATTATTTGTTCTAATATATGATTTCTTTTAATCTATATGTAAATATTGGGTGAAGGTTCATGCCTCTCGTACCTTTATACATCACATAAAAAAAGAGTACAAGCTGTGCCCATCTCTCCCTCTGTCCAAGACTTAGGTGTGGGAACACTGCAGTTTATCTATAATATTGAACAGGGTCATTGAACTCGAGATACCAGGAAACTGAACTGTTCTGCAGAGCCCTGTACTCTGCCTCTGGGACCTAGACACGCTGTTCCAGAAAAAGCACCTATCTTGCATTAAACACTGGAACTATTAACAGCCAGGCAAGTGTTCTGGTTCTTTTTCACCTCTGAGAAGCTAAGCAGGGTCGGTCCAGTGCTTGGATGTGAGACCACCAAGGAATTCCAGGGTTGCAATGCAGAGGCAGGCCATGGCAAACCACCTCTGAACATCTCTTGCCTTGAAAACCCCAAGAGGTCGGCCACAAGTTGGCTGTGACCCGGCGGCACTTTCCACCCCCAGAAATACTAGCGAGTCCAGTGTCCCTCTGAGCTGAGTGAGTGTGAGCCAGCTCACAGCTTTTTAGCCTCCAGCTCATACGTTTTTGTCTTCGCTCAGGCAGGAGGGCTCCAGAGCAAACTAATTGATGCAGTCGCCAAATGGCTCGCTCACAACTTTAATGCCAGTCGCTCACAAAGCGGAATTTTGGCTCACCAGATTCCACAGCTTAAAGGGAGCACTGCAGCGACCTACTAGAAAATGCAATTCTCCTAGAACATAATGTTCGGCTGCACTGTGTCAAATGGCCAACTGCACATCGTAGCAGTACCCTGGTGTTTATGTGCAGGAATGTGCATGCGTGTGGCCTTGCAACAGGATGCATGAGGATCCGTTCTGAAACTTAACTCCTGGAGATCGGGGGAAGGCAACGGTAGAACCTTGTGCTTAACAACATTTTGTAAAGTAGAACAAAGTTTGAGCCCAGTGGCACCTTTATAAGCAACAACATTTTATTGGTGGTATAACTTTTGTGTACACATGGTTCAAAATACAATGATGGAAAACAAACACTGTGACATACCTTCTGCAGAAGTGTTCCATCTCCCGCCTTGGTGAGCAGCAGGGTAGAGCTGGCTATGTTTTATGACCAGGTGTGGTGTAATGCATCCATTCAACCTTTGCTGTTTTAAATATTTTTTTTGTGTGTGGTGCGTGTTTGTGTTTGCATGCCTGGAAGTCATGGTGACTTGTGGCGACTTTTACTAGGGCTAGGATGTTTTTCAGAGAGGTGGCTTGATATGCCTGCTTCTGTTTCCCAGCCTTGGTATTCCTTGGAGGTCTCCCAATTACTTGCCTGGGTCTGCCCTCCTTAGCTTCTGAGATCTGACGAGATTGGGCTTGCCTGGGCTTTCCAGGTCAGAGCGTGAGGGCGCATCCATTCAACCTCTAACCCTTGAAGGGCCAGTGATTTTTAAAAAATGCTTAGTCACCAGACCAGATATGTAAAGGAGGTCCAGTTTCTCATTTAGCCCATGAGGGACCAAGAATTTTAGTCTGAGTATCCACTCACCTTCCTTTCTCATTAACAAGTTGTCATTCTGGCCTGGTATTTTTTGTGTAGCCCCCCCTGCCCCCCAATAATATCTGTGGGCAGAGCTATTTTTGGGCAGGAACGCACAGGAATGGAGTTCCGGCTGGCTCCCAAGTTGGCCACGCCCAGCAGGAACTCATTAGCATAATAGGCCACACCCAACAGCAGGAACTCATTAGGATTGGCTACATTAAGGGTGTGTGGCCTAACATGCAAAGGAGTTCCTGCTACAAAAAAAGGCCCTGGGTTTTGACAACAGGCAAGGTAAACAGAATAACAAGCAAAAGGTGGGTGTGGCTGGATAACCACACTTCTGGTAACATGGGGGTGCGGCCTAATGTGGTAATAAGCTGTGCTGTCAGGGGTGTGGCCCAATATGCTAATGAGTTCTTGCTGTTGGGTGTGGCCTATTATGCTAATGAGTTCCTGCTGGGCTTTTTCTTCAAAAAGAGCCCTGTCTGTGGGTATATGCTTCCATTCTAAAAAGTGTGAAACCAAGGGTGCCATTCTTCCCAGAGATACATTACTTTTCAAACAAATTACAGGTCCTTTTTGTTTAAAGGGACCTCTAATTTTAAAGATCTACCAGTTCGAAGTGACACTTCCATAAAGAATAGCAACCAACAACTTTTACCAGGTACAGATCCACCCTTGGGTCACTTAAAGTGTGGAAATTGTTCTCGCAAAGGATTTTTATATCCTGTTGATGGAAGGCTGTATGAATTAAGAAATTTCACAAAGTGGAATTCAAAAGGAGTAATATATGCTAGCAGGTGCCCATGCAACAAACTGTAGGTAGGGAAAAACTCAAGATGCTTAAAACATGTATTCCTGAACATAAAAGTAAAATGGTCAGTACTCGGATGCATTACGTCGTACCTGGTCATAAAACATAGCCAGCTCTACCCTGTTCATTTCACTGCTCAACAAAACTGTAAGAAGACAAATAAGCTGAGGAATGGGACGCTAAAAAATAACAACTATTTATCTCAAAAGATAGAAAATCATATACAATACCAATAAATCGGTACAATAGCAATATGCTAATATTCAACAGGTTGACATCATAACACACAATATAGTAATGCCATAGTACATAGTAACATCATAACAAAATACCAATGGTCACGTCAAGATTGGACTACTGTAATGCTCTCTCACTGGAAAAGAATTGTCCATTTATACTTACTCTCAGTTCATTATTTTTGAGCTTACTTAGGAGCCTTTGATGAGGAACTTTATCAACACTTAAAGTGTCACTTAAAGTGTGGAAATTGTTCTTGCAAAGGATTTTTAAATGCTGTTGATGGAAGGCTGTATGAATTAAGTGGAATTCAAAAGGAGTAATATATGCGAGCAGGTGC